TATATATATTTATTATATATTACATTAAAATAAAACTACATATTTTATGATATATTAAAATAAAATTATATATATTTAGTATACTAAAAGAATAGAAGAAAAGGTTTCATTGGAAGGAAAAGAAAGGAATGGAAAAGAATGATAATAATATCTTGTGACTGCTCAGTCCCAACACAGCTGCAGTTGGTCATCAAGTAGAAACAACTCACATGGACCAATCAAAGATGCACCTGTTGCATTCCACAGCAGCAGATAATTATTGTTTTTCTTTTCCTCTGAGGCTTCTCAGCTTCTCAGGAGAAAAAATCCTAGCAAAGGATGTTTCAGAAAATATGTCCATGACAGAGATTGGGCACTGGAACAGGCTCCCCAGGGAATTGGTCTGTCCTGGTTTAGGGCAAATTTGGGAGAAAACCTCCAAAGGAGGCCCCTCCAGAAAGCAAACCCACACAGCCCCTGCTCCCAACCGCGTCAGGAAGGATTCCTCAGAGAGAAGTGGAAAGAACCTGTTTATTTAACAGGCACAGCACCCCCCAGCACACAGAATGAACAATACCAGGTGACACCACTCTGTCACTGCTCTGAAAAGATGACAAATTCAGAAAGTCTCTCCTGGGGGTGGTTGTTCTATTCTCAGTCCCTCCTGTGCTGGGGCAACTGCTGCCCAGAACAGGCCCCAGTAGGCCGCAAGGTGCAAACTTTCGGGGTTTGCCAGGGCCCAGTCCAGAGCAGGTTTGAGAAGGTCAAAAAAAAAGGAAAGGAGAAACAGTCCAGGAAGAAATTTGGACTGTTTAGTTAAACTAACTAATGAGCAGAAGCAAGAGCAAAGCAAAAAGCAAAAGCAGCACCATGTACTGCCCCATCTGTGTGTCCCACCAACCATGGGGGAGCAGCTGATAACAAAATGAAAACAAAACATTTGCTCTTCAGAGCCAGTCTTGAAGGCACAGAACACAATATCCAGCATAAACAGAACGCACAGATGGGGGGGATACAGGCATCATAACATACCCTAGGACATGGTCACAGCACCAAGGCTGACAGAGACCATAAAGAGTTTGGACAACACTCAGGCACGTGGTAGGATTGTTGGAGTTGTGTTCTGCAGGGCCAGGAGCTGGACTTTGATGGTTCTGGTGAGTTCTTTCCAACTCAGGACATTCTGTGATTCCCTGACCCTGCTGCCACTCTCAGGTGTCGCCGTGCTGAGAGATGGGACTATCTCCCATCAGTGCCTCTTGCTGGGTTTTGGAGGGGCCAGAATCAGTCCCAGATCACTGGGAAAGCAATGAAATTTATTTCTCCGCCATTCAGGACTCAGCATTACATTGGCACACCTGGTTAACTGTTCAGGCTAGAGGTTTCAGGGATTCAGCATCTTTCCTCTCTTCTTGTGTCAATCCCGATTAACCAAGCATGTATTGGAGGGAGAAAATGAGTTTTTCAGGAGTATTTTTAAGGAGGAGCCCTAGGGGTGCTGGATTTGTGTGTGGGTAAGAAACCTCTCCCTACAGAGGATCACTCCAAAGGAAGAAAACCAGGATGGAGCTGACAGGAGACAAGAAGTGTAAAATGGTGTGAGGAAGCCAATGCGGTGCATGTACAAAGAGCCAATATTGATACAGATGACAGGGCAGGGCTGAGACTGACAGCCGTGGGAAGGAGGAAATAAAAGAGATTCTTCATTATATTGCCTGCCTTTTCCTGCCTGTGAGTTAAGAGCCTGGATCTGAATTAAATACCAAGGGAATGGGAGCTGCGTGGGGGGAAGAATCGGCTCAGTCTGAGCCACCACTGTGCAGAAACAATGAGCAAGGGATCTGAAACCAGGGAATTCCGCCCTCCCTGCTCTTTCAAATGCATTTCATAGGATTTTCCTTTGTGCTCCTGCCTGGTGTAATGTCACCTTGAGCCTCTTTTGGTGCAGTTTCCCATCACCTTGTTCCCAGCAAACCTTGATTTGGTTTACAGTGGATTTCACTGGGAGTACAGTGGTGTGTGCTGCTGGTGTAATGTTTTGTGCTACTGTTAACAGGATGGCTGGGGACTCTGTTTGAAGTGTTAATTAGCAGCAATTAATAAGAAGTGAAAAATTAATACCCTGTGTCAGCTTTCTTTGCTAGTTAGTAATACCAACACTAAAGCTCAGCGCTGTTTTCAGGCTGGTGTTTGCATGAGAGTTTGGTCTTGTTGTCACATGCTGTTGGGAAAATACTGAAGTGCTCTCCTGCCATAACTGGTAAACTTGTTATTCCCAAAATAAACCAAGTAATGGCCTCTAATAGATCCAGTTTCCTTGGGACATGGATGCTCTCAACATGACATTTCAAAACCAGTATGTCCAAGCAAAAAACACATTCAAATAGAGTTTAAAACCCCAAAAATGTTGATGATGTTTCTGAATGTGCCTCAGAGATTCTGTATTTCCCCTTTTTAATTGAAGTAGGCTTAAAGCCAGCCCCAGATGGGGCCACTGAGGATGGGTCCCAGTTGTGTTGCTGACACCTTGGGCAGGTTCCTGCTGATTTGCCCATCCACTTTCCATTTCTGATGGCAAATTCCATGATCCAGGGGTTTGAGTCCCTCCCATGGCTGTGTTGGCAGATTTGGGCTGTGTTAAAAAAAAAAAAGGCAAATACTGTTGTTGTCTGATTGGGCACCTTCAGCTTTTTGTCAGCTCATAACTCTGTTTTATCAGCATCATAGAAGCATCACAAGATTTAACTACAATACTGAGAGGATTATGTTTCTTCTTGGTATTTATATTGTTAACCCTGAGCTCTCTTTAAGATGATGGATTTGTTGTGTTTAAATTGATGCTTCTTTTTCTCTCCATTCTTTGTGAATTCTTTTTGTTAGACCCAGGTTATCTTCCATCCTTGTCTGGTCCCTGGCAAAAATTAAAACAGCCACATCCCCCCAAGGTTTAGCTTCAGCTGGAATCTTCCCTCCTCTGACATTTAACAAGCTTGATGTAAAGTCCTGATACTTAGCTAATTTATTATTAATGATATTTACGGAAGTGTCTCTATCAAAGGAGAAGTGGGGGTTTTTTTTTGACTTTCAGTAAACTGACTGCTTCTAGTTTCATGGTTAATTGAAACTTAATATACACTGGGGATGAGTGATGTGTATGTTCAGAGGTTAGCTGCACTCTAATATTGGAGTCTATAATACACTTAATTCATTAGCAAGTCTCATGTCAACAAAGAATAAAGATGTAGTGCAGTGGCAGTGGGAAAAGGGTCATATTTGGGGAGTATTTCAGATTTGCTGAGCACTCTGTGAGGACACCAACAACCATATTGCTCTGAGCTGGGTTATGATCTTCATTTTTTAAAATACTCCTTTTTTTCTTTCATAAGCAGATTTCTTTGGGGTGGGAAGCAAAAATTTCTAACTTTGCCTGAACAGCCTTTGGTGGGGGTTGAATCACCTGGCTTTGTAATTTGCTTTCACCAGTGGTTTTTCTGTGAAACAGCCATGGTTTTTGCAGGTTTAATTGCAGCTCCAGCAGACATTCCCACCATGGTCCTGCTGATGGATATCAGACACTTGACATGCTCCTCATCTTTTTCAGTTCTGATCTAACTGCTCACACACATCCATTTCTTCTTTTAAATTGCCACAGGAGCTGCCTTAAAAACTGGGAGTGAGAAATCCACAGCAGAACACTCTCCTCCTTTCTGTTTTACAACCATCATATCTAGTCTTCTAGAATATGCCTCCAGAGTAGTAAAAGTTGAAAAAATCCCATCTATTTTTACAATCTTATTACATCCTGCTTTGCCTGGCCTGTGGCTGTAAACTTCTTTCCTACTTTTAGTCACACATTTTGCAGAGCATTTGGCACAGTCCTCTCTTGTCATGCAGGGTTTGGAGGCTCCTCTAATAAAATAAGCAGGACCAATTCTCCCCATCAGATATTCTGGCCACGCACCTTCCCTGCTGCCTGGCTTGGCTTTAGCATATCTTGTGTGAATAGCTGCTTCCCTCTGTGCCCATAACCCCAGCTCTGGTTTCTCTTTTTCAGTTGTCCTTTGACACCTCGTAATTCATCAGCATCTCAGAGTTTTGCTGAAAAGCTCACTCTGGAATTGTTTTTAATCTACTCCTAAAGGTGTATCCTGGGGTGTTGCTTGTCTGGTGTGGCTGGAAATACAGTTCTCATTTAATCTCATGCAAGATCTGAGCATAGTGCCCTTCCTCATACTGCTTTTCATTTCTGTGTGTTTGTATTCAGCTTTGAGTTCACTGTGGTCACTCCTGCTAGAAGAAACTCTTCTGCTAACACAACCCAATTTAAAATCAGCTACTATTTCCTGCCTTGCTTGTTAAAACTGGTACAGTTACCTTAGGTCAGTCCTTACTCAATAAATAGCCAGCACTATTACATGAAGGTGTCTGCACTTTGCATGCTCAGTTTTATTTTCTAGAGTTACTCCAGTCTCTTTCTCATGAGTATTTCACTTCAGTGTTTCCTCTGTTTCATTATCACAGATCTCCCCCTTTGGAAGTTTGAATATTTGTGGAGTGAGATATAGTGTTAGTTATCAAAATGTTGGAAATCAAGGGCTGAAGTGGCTGGAAGATGGTGGAGATGATTTTTTTAGCATGGGTTGTGCTGCCTTGTGGGCCCATCCTTCTCTCTCTGTTGGTGAGCTGGAGGGAACTTTGAGGTGTGAAGCCTCTGGATGCTGTTTATTACCTTATTATCTTCTCTCTTGTCATTAATTTTGCTGTTGCTCGTATGATATTATTGCCACTAAGGTCCTTAGTTGTGGTTTTCATCCAACCCCAGCTTCAGGCTGGAGACAAGAGCAGGATGGAAGGGGCACCATCAGAGGGTCACAGAATTATTTAGGTTGTAAAAGACCTCTGAGATCTTTCATTCCAACTGTATCAAGATGGAGTGATGTGAAAAGAGTGGGGAAAGACTGAGGGAATGGGTTGGTGTACCATAAATCACTCATTGCTTTTTTTCCAAATTTTCCTTGTAGCTTGTCCTTGCTGCAGGATGAATTAGGAAGGCCAAGCCTCTTCCTCTGAGCCATGGAGACCAGGGCATCCTTCATTGCCAGCATGAGAGAGACCCAGCAGCTCTCCCCAGAGCAGGATCCCAGCCCAGCCAATGGTGATGGGGAGCACTTTGATTCAGGTGAGTGTGGGGTCCCAGTTGTTGGTGTCTCTGGATTGAAGGCACTTGAGATGGCAGCTCATGTTGGGACTCAGCTGTTTATTATTTCTTATCAGTAAAACAGTCTCACTACTGTGAGTTCAGCAGCTTTTCATTAGAAGGCACAAAATGGCCAACAATCTCTTGTTACAAGGCCTTTTAAGACTGAACTATCCAATTAAGAGCTGACACTTGGATTATTTCCCCTTATAACCCAATAACTGATCCTACAGAGCTGCAATGGGGACTTTTCTGCCCAATTGCAAAATGCCACCCAAACCCGTGGAGAAGCAGCATGAAGAAGAAACCCAGGATTACACCCTGTGCCCTCCATTTTTCTTCCATCCACAACACACTAAAAATCCCAAAACGTCAATTTCTCACCAAGTGATACACCTACACTGCTCTCTATAATCTATTTCACACTTTTGTGGGTTCCAGTCTATCTGGAAGTCTGGGAAATTTTCTCCATGGATGAGGGTCAGAGTCAGTGCTGCCCTGGGGGTCAGGGCACCCCAGAGCAGACAGAGGAATATTCCCTGTGCCCGGGGTTTCCACAGGTGAGCTGCCACACTCCTCACTGCTGCAGCTCCTTGCAGATAGATCTGGAAGCCAGGGAGGCACTGGGAATGGTTGTACAGCTCCAAGCCCTTTTTTGGGTCTTAGGATTGGAGTGTGTCCTGTGATTGATGGGCAATAAAAGTTTTTCCTCTTCTGGACCTCATTTGCAGTATCAGCTATTCAAAATTTAAACAAACAGCCATGGAAAACCTTTCCCAAGGCAGCATATTGTGTTCTCCCAGCTTCCCCACCATTTTGTATCCTGTTGAAATTTTGTGGTAAAGAGAGACAGAACAAACATTCAGAAAATATCCTATTTCCACTTCTATCCAACAACCTCAAGAGCACCCCCAACACAATTACAAACACAGTCCAAACCTCCTTCTTAATCAGCCTAATCCCAATAACAATCTACATCCACTCCAGAACAGTGGATGTAGATAAATTTACAGCATTTTTCCTTTGTTTTGACCTTTCCCCTCATTTCCTTCACTATTTTTTGGAGTGCTTCAGGTGAGGGGGTTTCACAAACACTGAGGAGAGGAGAGCTGGTCCCATGTTGTGCTTGTGCTCATGACTGGATGCTTTGTAATGCTCTGGGATGGGCTCCTGAAGGTGTCAGGATCTGCTGTGCTAAATTTGGGTGTTCTGTGAAGCAGAAAAGTAAATGCTTCATTCTGGTGATTTTTGATGGAACCAGGTGCTTTAGCTTCTCCCATCTAGCCAAAGCAGGAGGAGACTCTGTCATATGATGGAAAAGTACATTATGGCTAGACCTAACCTACTTTCTTTCTGAAGCCAAGTTTTACCTTGCTTCTCCTTCAGCAGGTCAAAAATTTGGCCACTCAACCTTCAGTTTTCTCACTTCTTGTAGCAGCTCAGTGATTTTCCTGTTTCCTTGGACGCCAAATCCTTGGATTTCCAGACCAGACACATCTGGGTTGGTCTGGTTCCCACTGGATCTATTTTTATCTATTTTTATCTAATTTTATCTATTTTTATCTATTTTTTTATCTATTTTTATCTATTTTTATCTATTTTTAGAGATAGGAATCTCTAAGGTGAGATTTCAGTTGGCCAGCCATAGACATTTTTTTGGGGAATGAAGAGAACTGGCCTGTAATGCCTGAATTTTGGTGGGGACAAGGATTTTGATGGCTCTCCCAAGGCTGTGCCAGAGGTTTGTGGTTGATCAGGTGTCTGTGTGTCTCCCCACACCTGTTGTGGGAGTATTTCAGTGCTCTGTTCACTCAAAAAGTCATTTTTATGTATCTAGATGCTATAAATAAGATGTCTAAGCAATTTGCCTTAAATACTTTCTCCTACAGTGAAGCCTGAGGGGAAAAAAAATTAAAAATCATTGTTTCTGGAGCCACAGGGTTTGGGTCTTTTATCCCTTTTCTTTTCCATAGCTGAACATTCCAGGGGGCTGTTAACAGCTGGAGCAGTTGCATTTTTATAATGTCAATGCATGAGCACTTTAAAGCCATTGAGAGGCTCTCAGATAATGACTTGTTGATTTTATTTGTCATCCTGGGCTTGTTTATACATCACCGTATTGTAAAGCAGCCAGCCTTGACTCTTTCATTAAGAAAAAGCTCTGGACCTAAGTGCCAATAATTGGAAAGGGAGCTGGTATGTAAAACAGGTTTAATGGCAGATTTATCACCTTTCAGGGTGTCCTGAGCTCCTCAGCAGTTGGGTTTTTTGGTGATGGATGAGGAGATTTGTGTGCAGCCCTGTTGAATGTGTGGGTAGTGTCGGGTCCTTTGAGCTGGTCCCATCCCTGTGTCTGCTCTGCCAGAATTTCAGCAGGGAAGCAAGTCCATTGAAAAACCATTTTAGAAAACATACAGTCCCTTCAGAATCCCTTGTGGTGAAATGAAGCAAAATAAACCAGTGATGCTGTGATAAATGAGTACTCTGACATTATTTTTACAGACCTTGTAAAAGTAATTTCCTGATAAAGTCTGCAGATAAAGCATGGTGTAGGAGCCAGGCTGGTGATGTGTCAGAGAGGAATGAGCTGACAGCGAGGGAAGGCTGCAGCTCTCACTCTGCCTTGCCTCTGGGCCTTATAAAACCTCTTTATTTGGGTTTAGAAAGCAGAGATCTGGGTGGTATTTTGTTACAAAGGTGGTGGTGTGAGTTTTGCTGGGCCAGATGTGAAATAACCTTCCAGTGAGAGTCTGTGCTGGCCTGTGGCAGAGTAGGTCAGGTGTGATGGTGTTCACAGGGGTCTGAGGGTGAGGGAAGAGATGAGGATCTGACTCCATGTTTCAGAAGGCTGATTGATTATTTTATTTTATATATTACATTAAAACTATACTAAAAGAATAGAAGAAAGGATTTCATCTGAAGGCTGGCTAAGAATAGAAAAAGAAAGAATGATAACAAAGGCTCTGTCTCGGACTCTCTGTCCGAGCCAGCTGGGCTGTGATTGGCCATTAATTAGAAATAACCAACATGGGCCAGTCACAGATCCATTGTTGCAGACAACTTTTATAAAAAATCCTTTCTTTAGGTTTTTTTCCTCCTGAGAAGCTGGGAGGCCTCAGGAACAAAATGTAAACAACGATTATCTGCTGCTGTGGAATGCGACAGGTGGATCTGTGATTGGTCTCATGTGGTTGTTTCTAATTAATGGCCAGTCACAGCCAGCTGGCTTGGACAGAGTCTGAGCCACAACCCTTTTTTGGTTCATTTCTTTCTATTCTTAGCTTAGCTGTCCTTCTGAGATGAAACCTTTTCTTCTATTCTTTTAGTATAGTTTTAATGTAATATATATCATAAAATAATAAATCAGCCTTCTGAAACATGGAGTCAGATCCTCATCTCTTCCCTCAACATAAGACCCCTGTGAACACCATCACAATCCACCTGTCACATTCCACAGCAGCAGATAATCGTTGTTTACATTGTGTTCCTGAGGCCTCCCAGCTTCTCAGGAGGAAAAATCCTAAGGAAAGGATTTTTCATAAAAGATATCTGCAACAGTCAGAGTTAATAAGGTTGTGAAGGACTTGATGCATCCATAACTAGCATCCAGTTCTATTTGTTAAAATCTTTTCCCAAATTCTGGAGAGGACTCTGACCTGCCTGGAGACTTTGCTCCTTGCAAGGGCTGGGGATGATTCACTGAACTGGCTGAAAACCTCTGTGGAGTGAATCTTTGCTGTAAGGTTGCTGAGGAAGGCTGGAGAAAAGGAGAATGTGCTAAAGGAGAGACTCACACAGGAATTTAGAGCAAAAACAGGAATAAAAACTGTCAGTACACAGAGGTGAGGGAAAGGGAAGTGCTCTGACATGGAAGTGCCTGACCAGGAGAGAAGAGAGCTGACCTGGAAGTCACAGAATCACAGAGCTGACCTGGAAGTCACAGAATCACAGAATTATTTAGGTTGGAAGAGACCTGTGAGAGCTTTGGGTCCAAGTCATAGAATCACAGACTTATTTAGGTAAGAAGAAAACTCTGAGAACCATTCCCCAGCATTGCCAAGAGCACGCCCTAAGCCATGTCCCCAAGTGCCACATCCCTGTGAATTTTAAATCTGATGGTGACTCCCCCACTGCCCTGGGCAGCCTGTTCCAGGTGTCCTGGCCATGTCCTGAGGTGGAGATGCCCTTGGGATTGTTGGAACAGCCCATCCCAACCCCACAGAGACAGGCAGCAGGGAGAGATGAGGCACAGGGGATGATGCACTTAAGTTTCCATGTCAGGTGCTTCTGACCTTTGGTGGGTTGTGCTCAGGGAAAAAAGTTGCTTAAGCAATTTTAAGCCTGGAATGGATAATCATATCTGCCCATCTCCTGATGGACTTGGTTTTAGAGGCTCAGCCTTTGCAATCTCTGCACACAGCTCTTCTCTGTAGCATTAACTCTGCAGGGTTGCAGGCATGAAGGCTGAAAAATATCCCTGTTCATCTAAATTGCCTGCCTGCATGATACAGAATTGTTCCACCAAGCTCCTACCTTGTGGTTAAGTTGTGGCTTATCATTCAGTCAAGGTTGAACAAACCCCTCATTCTGGGTCAGATATCTCAAGTAGAGCCAGCTTCTGAGCCTGGAGGTTTTTTCAGTGATTGCAAAAAAACAAAACAAATCCCATTCTTTATTCTGCCATGAATTTGTCTATTTTTGGGTTGTAATCATGGAATTGGGTTATTTCTTGCTGAGTTGAAGAGTCACCTGGTAGTGTCTTTATCATGGAGTAAATGTTGATTTGCATCTCCATATTTAAGAAGATGATTTGAGTTTAGGGCAAGGAGTCAGGCTTGATGCAGCAGCATGAAAGTGTTTAATAGTGTAGACAGCTCAGCTTTGAACTCCCAGACAGATCTTTGCCCTCTCAAAAACCCTCTTCTGTTCCCCTTTTTCCCCCCTCACCTACATGGGTCTGGTGCCACAGGCAGCAAATAAAAACTGTGTCTTCCCCTTTTAATAATGAGAAATTTCCCCTTGCACAACATCATTTTCTCTGGTCCTGGAAACTGGAGACCTGTAGCAATAATTGCAATAAATTAACCTAGCCTTTTTCTTCATAAAACTGTCTGGGGAGGGTTCTTAATTCAGTTTGTCATGAGTCACTTTAATTACATCATGGCCACGCTGATGAATGCTGGGGCAGGTAAAGGGTCTTGCAGAGTTTGCCTGATAAATGCTTATTGCAAAGAGCTCATTGCCAGACTGTAAATATTTTTGCTCTGGGGATGAAACTGGGCTTGCAAGATTGCTTGGGAACAAAATGAAAACAATCAGATTTGGCTGATTTTCTGGAAGTGAAAGAAGATTTATTTTTAATTATTGCTGGGTGAGTTTCAGAGATGGTTTTGGGGCCTTGGCTGTGCCTCAGTGTGGTTCTAAAGGAAGAAAATAAAAAGTGGTCATGTCCAGCCCTTGCTGTGGGGTGTGGATGGGGGAGAGGGGACACAGAGCCCCAAATCTGAAGGGGAGCAGGGATAAGAAGGCAGTATGGGGCTGGTGAGGTTTGGGGAAAGCAGCTGTAGCTTGTAAAAGGGATTTATCTGAGATTTATGGGTGCAGTGATGCTGAGGAAGGAGAAGAAGGGGTGGCAGGAGTGAAAATGGGTCTCACTCACCCCAAGGGTTGGTGTTTGGTGTACTCACGGCTCAGCCAACAGAAGCATCTTTAATTTATCCCTGGGGCACTGCTGAAACCACCAGGGCTGGGGAGCACTGTGAGGGCACAAGGACATTGCACCAGTGAGGGTGGGCAGGCAGCCACATCCCTCACAGCCTGGGAGTCACCAAATGCAAAATAAAAGAGTCCAAGTGCCTCTTGCAGTGTGTGACAGCTTTGTGCCCCCACTGCCATGGAAGCAGAGTCATTTCTGGTCTCAGTGTTGGCTGCTAAAAGCCCAGAGTCTGCTGAATTCATAGCAGGAGCTGGTCAAAACACAGATCCTTAAAGCAGGCTTTCTGTTTTCCCTTCTGTTGATGTTTATACTGGTTGCTATTCTCACCCTGAACTCTTTGACACAACTTTTGCCTTCTTTGGCTGTGTTTTAGGCTGCTTTTCTTTCTCTCATTTTTTTTAATTTATTTTTTTTTTCTTCTCTTGAACAGATGAGGGCTCCAGCATTGAGGATGTAGACTTCAACTGGGACGAGTTCCTGGAGGAAACAGGAGCCAGTGCTGCTCCCCACACCTCCTTCAAACATGTATGTGCTCCCTGTGGGTGTTGGACACGTTCCCTCTTCTGGTTTTCAGAGTCTCCCTGGAGAACTGAAAGTGAAATCTTCCCATTTTGGGGAGAAATTTTGTGGTTGAGCAAATAGACCAACCCTCAGTTGAGCAAGTATACCATATTATATTTGTCTTTATAAATAAAAGAATAATTTAAAACTGCTGTTTCAATTGGAAATCTATCAGAGACAAGCTTACCTAGAGTTATAATCCCTCTGGATTTAGCAGCTGATAAGGTTCTAAGAATCCTGTGGTAGTGACAGGTCTGTGCTCTGCTCTGTGTTAGCACCAGCAGCATTTGAAGGCCCCTCTGGAGATAATCTGGTCCTACCACCTTTGTCTCTAGGTGATTTTGTGGTTGAGCAAGTAGACCGTGTTATATTTGTCTTTATAAATAAAAGAGTCATTTATTTCAATTGGAAATCTATCAGAGACAAGCTTACCTAGAGTTATAATCCCTCTGGATTCAGCAGCTGATAAGGTTCTAAGAATCCTGTGGTAGTGACAGGTCTGTGCTCTGCTCTGTGTTAGCACCAGCAGCATTTGAGGGCATCTCTGGAGATCACCTGGTCCAACCACCTTTGTCTCCAGGTGATTTTGTGGCTTGTTTTGTAGGGCTAAAGGAGCTGCAGGGATGAAAAAACCTCTCTTTTATCTAGTCTGAGAAACTAGAAAAGTCCTCTATTCTCTATTTTGCTTTCATTTTAACAACAGTTAACCTGGAGCATTGCAGGATGAAGGACCAAAATTCTCTGTACTGGAGATCTGCAGGGCAGTGCTTATTGTGGAGTTTATTCTTGATCCAGCAGCTGCTTGGAGAGAGCATCTTGTCCCAGATTTCTACTCCAGGCTCAAAGTAGAAAGTTTAGTGCTTCATGAAGCCCTTAAGGATGCCTTCAGTTGTGAGGAGATGTCCAGCTCATCCTACTGATCCTGCTGACTCCAGTGTCTCACAGCATCTCAATCCTGGGATTGTCATTGTGGGACACATTGGTGCTGGAGCAGCCCTTAGTGACTGCTTCACAATCTGAAACTCAAAAATCTGGCCAAAAGCTGTAGGAGGAGATTGTATTATCTGTCTGTCTGATTCTCCTCTTGATGTGATTTCCAGTCACAAGTCTCTTGGTTCCAGAGTACCTTGCTGGTGTTACGGTGAGCACAGGGCTCAGAAAACCCCCAAAAACCAGTAAATGAATCGTTCTCTGCAGGCATCTGTGACAGTTTTCATAGGGGTCTTAGGATGAGGAAAGAGATGAGGATCTGACTCAGTGTTTCAGAAGGCTGATTTATTATTTTATTATTATATTATATTAAAACTATACTAAAAGAATAGAAGAAAGGATTTCATTAGAAGACTGGCTAAGAATAGAAAAAGAAAGAATGATAAAGGTTTGTGGCTTGGACAGAGTCTGAGCCAGCTGGGCTGTGATTGGCCATTAATTAGAAACAACCACATGAGACCAATCCCAGATGCACCTGTTGCATTCCACAGCAGCAGATAATCATTGTTTACATTTTGTTCCTGAGGCCTCCCAGCTTCTCGGGAGGAATAATCCTAAGGAAAGGATTTTTTATAAAAGATGTCTGTGTCAGGCATCAGGCTGAGGTGCTTTGAACTGCAGCTGCGATTCTGTACTGGGAGGAGGCCAGGAGATTCAGTTTGTACTGGGACATGGGCCGGTCTGTAGCCTGGATTATTTGTGAGGACTCTGAGCATTGCTGAGGTCCTGGTTTGGCACTGATTAAGCAGTGCATGTCACAGGCCACCCTCAGTGTCACACCATGTCCAAAGGTCCCTCTCAGTTGTTCTGTGCCTCTGGGCATTGATTCTGCTGGAAGTGCCCACCCCAGGAAAGGCATAGGGAGTACAGATGATGAATGGGTTTGGCTGGGCAGCCCTGGGGTCAGAAGCTGGAGCTGGATGAGTGAGGGATTACTGCTGATGGACCAGAGGAGTATTTTCTCAGCAGCTTGGCATCCCCACATCTGTAAAGTCCTTGAGCAAGTAGACCATGTTATATTTGCCTTTATAAATAAAAGAGTCATTTAAAATTGCCATTTCAATTGGAAGTCAATCAGAGACAAGCTTACCTAGAGTTATAATCCCTCTCTTATTCAGGAGCTGATAAAGTTCTATGAAACCTGTGATAGCCTGTCCTTAAACATCTCCTGAGGAGTAACAGGTTATATTTTGGATGGTTTTGTGAAGACAAGGCTGGCACCTGACCAGTGCACTGGCATCCACCTCTTCTTTATCAGCAGCAGCTAGAAGTATCCCACTGGTGCTTGGGACACAGGTGGTGCTACAGCAGGCCCTGGTGTTCATCAGCAGTGTCCCAAAAGAGATGCACTGGCATCTGCAGTGTCCTAGGGCACATTACAGGTGCCCTGTCACTGCTGAGATGAATGGAAGTGACATCTCCATCAGATGGAGGACAGTGACCCAGACAATTTACTTCTGTCAGTGACAGGTCATGCCTTGTTTTCCATGGGGGAATGGGTTGAGGCTTGAGCTGCTGAGGATAGGTGCAGTGGAAGTTCTCTCCTTGGTCTGCCTGGTACAGCATTCAGCCCTTGATGCTTGTCAGGCCTCTAGAGGTGCTTCAGTGTTGTGATGTGACTAAATATTGTAGTTGGGCTTAACTCCT